TCCAGACCGTAATTATTGCGCAATATTTCGGGCCGTAATAACTTACGTAAAATTACGTTAATATATTTCGCTGATGTTACATGAAGTTAATCTATACAAATAGATTCAAAATTTTTAATCTTGATTGCAGGGTTAGTTTATTAAACTTGATAAACATATCAGTACACAGCGTTGGATGATAATTTTAAATTACTTATCTTTCACAGGCCGTTCAATCATAACAAAGGTTAATAAAACTTTATGACCCTTTGATAAAGTAAGAATCATGGTAAAAAAAAATTTTATTAGCATTTAATATGATCAAAATGACCTATTACCAAAAGGTCGTATAATTATAAGACTAATTTATATCATAAAAAAATAGTATAACTGTTATCAACATTAAAATACAATTAACTCCAAACACAAATATTGGTATATATACTTAACAAAAAAAAAAAGTCTACTTTAATTTAAAGCATTCGATAAACCTATAAAAGTACTTGAGAATAGCTGAGCTAGTTCAACAATTCATTATTATTGAAGCTTTATTATTGAGTATTAAATATAAACTTCTAATTATATCAAACTATTCTGATATTCATAAACGATTACACATTTTGGCATAATGATCATACTCTCTACATTTTTCATATTTACGACCCTTAATATTACTTAAGGTCTTTTTAATACTTGAATCTATTTCTAAACTTTTGTTAATTACATTTAATGATGTATTTTCTTTTAACTAACGCTTACCCTTACTTGAAGTTTCTTTTACTATTGATTTGAGTCTATTAGAAGGGCGTCTTTTATGTTTTGTAATAATTGGATTGTCGACATTCTCATCATTTTCATCATAGTCTTCATTGTCTTTATTGTCTTAATTAGCATATACTTTATTTTTTGCTTCGCAAAGAAAATTATTAAGAGTGTCGGATAGTTCATTATATAAGTCAGCTTTAAATGCAAGGTTAACTACCTTTTTAGATAACTCAAATAACCTTGTATATCTTGCTTTAATTGGTTTGGATTCTAACTTATCATTATTGTTATTGATATGATTTTGCCAAATTGAAATTAGATGATCCAATGTTACTTGTGGTATAACTTCAAAAGCCTTTTGTTGCTCAGATATAAAAATAAATATTGCAGGCAATTGTTGAAACAAGTTATTTAATATAATATTTGGTTCCAAGTACCAACGGTTTGGAATAAGAGCTATATAAAATGCAGCTGATAAAAAATATGTACCAACACAAAAAAAGTGTTGGCAAATTAATCCTTTATTAATGAGAAGAAGACAGGTACATAAGTGTGTACTATCATTAAGTAGTATTATATAATTTTCATGTCCAGAAGTTCCCATATAATATACATGCCACACTTGAAGAATCATTTCATGTGGAATGTTTTGTATTAGTGATGCAAATAGAATTTGGCACGTCTCAGTTTCCTGTTCTTTAACTCAAAGCCCAATATTAATATTATTTATGTATCCCTATTAAAGTAATATCATATTGAAAATAGTATTAGAAAAAAAAAAAAAAAAAAAAAAAAGTAAATATGATGATTACTTCAATTAATTCATCCCACTTTTTGATACGTATAGTATCATAATAGACACTTAAATTCATTTGATTTCTCTGTTTGCCAAGCATAGTTGGCGTAAGAAACTGTTTTAAAGTTTTATCAGCTTTTAGAAAAAACTGATTACTTAACATTGGTAATCTGATTGTTGGAAGTACGTTGCGTTGAATTTCAAACATCATTAAATGTTCCTCTTGAATAACATAATCGTTGAGGCTAGTTAATAAATTACACAAAGAAGTTGCACAATCAACCTTCTGGTGAATGTGCATATTAATAGACTCAATTCTTTGAGTACTTTGTGCACCTGCTATAAATATTTTGTTAATCTAGGGAGTTGCTTATGATTCTTTGTTGCTATAAAGAGTGTTTGTTAAGTAATTTGCAGCTGCAGGATAATCATTTATTAATTTTGCCCATCGGCACTCAAAGAGGTCTTTATATAAGCTATTACAGCAAACATAAAAATCTGATCGAAATGTATCAAACTGGAACCTAATTTTTGCCTTAATTTTTTTTTAAGATTCAAATCTATGTGAAATATACATAGAAAATAGTTGGTAGTAGGATAAATATTCTTAATTGCACTTATCATAGCAAGATCGCTATCAGTAAAAATTGTTATTAGAATAATCTCAGTTTCTTTAAATAATTCCTCAAGTACCCATTGAAATGTATCTAATATTTCATCCTCAATTATTCCACAAACTACAATTCGTGTCTTAAAATAGTTATTAATAACAGTAATAATGAGAAGCATTAGTTGAAAACGATTAGTATTCATAGTAGTATCCATTATTACTATATCATAAAAAGTTTCATATAAAGTTCTTTGGGATGGTGACATCCAAAATAATGAAGCCAATCTTCTAGATACAGGTTCCAAGCATGGTTTTACAATCCATAATAGATTTTTTTCTTTCCAGTTCATTAATATTTGAAGTATTAATAAAGCATCAGAATCTCCTGAATTATTTTTTTGTCTAAAAGCATATACTGCATTGTACAAATTATGTTTGTGCAGAGGATGTTCGGGATAGTCATATTTAAGTAAGAGATATATTGAACTTGAATCCATTCTTCCCCTAACTACATATTTTTCAATATCAGCTAGCATTTCAGAAGTCAACTTGTGAAACCAAGGGGAAATCTCTTTAATCATAGAAGTAAGCGGATGATTATGTTCATTTTTGAAAGAATTTATTCTTACTTCAGATGCTGATTTGGGAAATGTAACATTTAATTTCCATTGGCATTCTGTTCTTTGAAATATATTATTTTGTCTTTTAGTTGGATCAACCATTGCTTTGGAATTATATATGCCAGATTTTGCACACACATAATTAACCTACTAACTATTTTACCTTCTTTTTCACTAGTCCTAATCTTGTAATTGAAATCTTCTTGTAGTGCAAATCGATCCAACCAAGTTTTAAATAACTGCCAGTTTGGAAATGAAAGCCCTAGCTCTAATTCTAAACGTTTGTTGTTTAACTCATCTTCCTGAAACTCTATATCAAACATCTCACAATCAACTAATTCGTTATATGCTTCCTCACTATTAGGTAAGGCATCTAAAAAATAATTATATGGTTCTTGAGCATAATAATTATCAATGTCATTGTTATAATAAAACTGGACATGAGAAGCACCATAAGTATCTTGATTAGGATCTTGAACATATGAAGAATAGACTTTGCCAAGAACTTCAGAATATTGAATACTCTAAAATTGGTTACGTGGTTTCCAAATTTCATAATGGTTACCAAGGTTGTAAAGGTCTTGAAAAAGTTGGATACAAGAATGATTGTGAGTATTTTTTGGATTATTAAAATCTTGATTGCCTTTATTGTATTCAAAGTTTTCAAGCTCTTGAAGGCCTTGAAGGTTTCCGAGTTTTTGAACAAACTAGAGGTTTTGAGGATCGTAAATATAATGTAAAAATGGGTCCCGGAAATTATTAGTATCTCGATTGTCCTGATTGATAAAACTCATTTTGAGTAAAATACAGAAATATAAAAAACACAATGGTGTGAAAAAAAAAAAAAAAATAGAGCGAGTTAATTACTAATAAGTTGCACTAAATACATCATAATCATAATTAGCAAAACTTACTTATCGTAACATGTGATCCGGGTTTCAAACACTAATTTTTTTATATACAAGGGACCCAGGTTTCGAATACTGGGATATGACTTTTTTTTACATATACATGACCCATATACCAAACACCCCGTGTACAGCTAGTTTTTTTCTATTTAATTTTATATTTATTAAAAATAGATGTAATAATTTAATTTTTTAAAATTTATATATAATAATTGAATTTTTAGCATTTTTTAATTTTAGAGATAGCAAAAACCCAAAATTTATGCAGATCAGTTATGACCTATATTGAAGATATCCGGGTCCTGGTTATACTGGTTTCTTGAATTTATTGTGCCAAAGCTTTCATTATTAGATAGTGTGACCGAAGTTACAGATTTAATAATAAGTATAGCTATTAACAAAACACAGGTCTATTTTTCAAATATTGTTGTTCGTGGGATTTAAACTCTAGATCTGCCACTTGGTAAGGGTAATGACTAGACCATATTAAAGTTTATTAATTCTTATTGCAATACCTATATATATAGTTAACTCTCTCTTAAACCAAACCTTTCTAAACCAAACTCTCTCTTAACTGAACCAAAACTCTAAGACATTTATAAATTTTATTATAAAGTTCAAATAAGCTTATAATACCTCTTTAAGAACTAAACTAAAAACTCAAGAATGGGCTATTCAGATAAGAGAGAGTTAACTGTAATATATGAATAGTAATTAACACTATTGTTACAGAGTAAAGCCTTCTTAATTTACTCTATAACGACGACATGGCACAGGAAATCCTTTTGTAGGTATATGCGGTGTCCAAGAGGTAAGTATAGCTTCTTTTCTTTTTAAGAAACTATACCCTTCTCTAAGGCAGTTCGTGGGGAAATACAATAACAATAATAACTTATTAACACAAGAGAGATAAACCTTGCCTGTAGGAATTACCCTAGAGGGGGAATATCTAAACAGTTTATAGTCAAAGAGTCGTTTATTAATATAAAGAATACAAGGCTATCCTTAGATATCTATTCCTAAAGAATCCTAAATATTGTTTACAAGAATAAAAGGGAGAGGGGTGTCTGTTGCTTATTCTAACTTGGGGAAATTTGTGGGGTTTATATATCTGTGAGCTAAGTGACTAAGCGACTGAGCGACTAAGCAACTAAGCGACTAAGCAACTATATAGTTAAGCGACTAAGTGACTGAGCGACTAAGCAACTGAGCGACATGTTAATAATAATACAAAATAATAATAATATTCTAAAATAATAAATAATAAATAATAAAATAATAAACTAATAATTAATTCGTTCTATAACAGTAAAATAAATGAGTTTTGGAGAAAGCGGAAAAGAATAAAATGTTGTGATTAGAAGAAAAGAATAGAAGATTGGAGAAGATGTTGGATGAAGTAGTGGAATCGGGAGAATTTAGATTGGAGGTTTTAAAAGGGATGTTGAATGATGAATATAAAAAATATGAGATGTTGCATGTGGCAAAGAAGAAATTTGAGTTAGGATATATTGTATTGAGGAATGATATGATTGAAGTGTTAGGTACAATAGATGCGAGAAAAGAGTGATAGGGAAAGACAAAGAATAATAAAAAGATATAATATAGAAGAGTTTGGTGAAGAAGAAGAAGAAGAAAACAAAGATAAAGAGGAAAAAGAAGAAGAAGACGAAGATGAAGAGGAAGAAGAAGAAGAAGAAGATTATGAAGTTTGGTTAGATGAGGAGTTAAGAAAATACAAGACTATGTTAGAAGAAGTATCAGCAAGTGAAAAAGAAAGTAGTAGTTTTCTGATAGTGCTAAAAGATAAGATAGGAGAAGGTAGTAGAAGTTCGCAGAGGTGGGAAGAGAGTATGGATGAGGACAATATGTGAGAAGATTAGATTTTATTTCTTTATATTTCTTTGTCTTGCTGGTTTATATATATATTAAAAATCTTATTAATAATTTATTAAAATATATAATATATTGATTATAAATTTTGCAAAAATAATAAAATATAATATATTTTTATTAAAGAAAAAAAAACTACAAAACATATTACAAGAGACATTACAAAAACATCTTAGAGGCATCATACAAACACTATAAAGACACCACTACACAAACAATAAAAACACTACTGCACACCACACAAATACCATAGAGATATCACATATATACCATAAAGATACTATAGAAACACCACACAAATATTATAGAGATACCATATAATCACCATAGAGATACAATATAAATACTATAGAGACACCATACAAAAAAAAAGTTTTGATAAGCAAAAAAAAGCTTCAAACAAAAGAAAATTGAAATTCAAAGCCTAATATATACCAAAAAAAAACAGCAATACTAACAACAGAAAGAATTCCACCTAGCAGACTAAACAAAAAAAGCACTATAAAAGAGATTACACCAAATTAAATAATACTAACGATGAAAAAAATATCATGAAAGGAAGTATATCAAGAAAAAAACACCAGAAAGGATGACTCTAATGGTGAAGCACCGAAATAGGCAGCTCCATTGATGAAAAACCCATGAAACAAATCCCCTAAAACCTCTAAAACAAAACTTTAGTACACAAGTACCAAAATGGATGATTTCTGTAACAAAAGCACCAAGATAAATGACTCTAGCAACAAGAATCTACAAAGAAAAGTATCTATAAACTTAAAAAAAAAAGTTAGTACATACAAAGAAACAAGAAAGGAAAGAAATCTGTAGATTGTAATTGTTCTTAAACAAGTTAAAGATTTTGCAAAAAAAAAGTCGACTTTTATAGCAAACTCAAAAATTAAACAAAGGTAAAGTATTATATATTTCTAGATATAATCATATTATATATAGACAATAATAAAATATCTTGCTGCCTATTTGAACCAAAAACCTATATAACAAGTGCTATAAATGAAGAAAAGGCACTGAAATGATAAAAAAATATAATAAATCTATTTTTAAAAAAAAATCCTAGCAAAGATTCTATATAATATTATGGAGGTTTAATATATTTATATATAAAAATATATATATCTTTTAGCCTATAATATATATACCATATATAAATAACTAATTTACAAAAACTAAAATACTATATAAATAAATTATAAACGTAATCATTAGTTCTATGGTACAGGCACCTGTCATTTAGAAATAGTTCTCATATACTATTTGCCAACAGGCTTAGAGTTTATTACTTACCATTTATATTAGTTAGCTAGTATTATTTGTATACATGAATTAATTACTAAAATAAATACCTGGCAAGATACGCCAAAGTTAAAAAAAAAATAATAATAATAAATTATAATAATAAAATAAACAAAATAAAGTAAAAAAAATTTTCATTCTGATATTACATCCCTTGAATGGCTATCACATATCTTATATGAAATCAATACTCTAGAAAGGATAGCTAGCTCCTTTACTGGTTTCGAACCCGGTTACTCTGCTTACAGAGTGATATCCAAACCAGTAGTCTATATCAGAATAATTACCAAATTTCAAAAATTAACTCCTTAAAAAGATTATTTGTGCAGCTTGATTATCCAATCGAAAATTTTTTTTCATATAATCTAAACTTTAAATTAGATGTTTGATTATCTTCATAACGTAGTTTTTAATCTAACCAAAAATTTAAAAATAATAATATAATAATAAAACACTATTAAAAAAATGCCTCATTCACAAAAAGAAAACAACAATCACTATCCAAACTATCAAAAGTAAGAAATATAATAAATAAATAACAATTTATAATAATTAATATAATTTTTATATAATAGTAAGAATTCAGATAAGGGTAAGCAAAGAGAAGTAATTGAGGATGTCGAAGATGTTGAAAATGTAGAGAACATAGAAGAAAACTAGTAATAATAATAATAAATTTTAAATACTATAATTTAAGATAATACTAAAATTAATTTAATTTAATAGGTGGAATAAGTGGGTTTTAGAAAAAGTAGAGAAGAATAAGATGTTATAGTTAGAAGAAAAGAATAAAAGATTAGAGAAGATGTTGGATAAAGTAGTAGAATTGGAAGAATTTAGATTGGAGGTTTTAAGAGGGATATTGAATGATGAACATAAAAAATATAAGGTGTTGCATGCGGCAAAGAAGAAATTTGAGTTAGGATATAATGTATTGAGAAATGATATGATTGAGGTGTTAGGTACAATAGATGCGAGAAAAGAGAGAGGTAGGGAGAAACAAAGAATAAGAGAAAGATACGATATAGAAGAGTTTAGTAAAGAAGAAGAAGAAGAAAAAAAAGACAAAGATAAAGAGAAAGAAGAAGAAGAAGACGAAGAGGAAGAGGAAGAAGAAGAAGAAAAAGATGAAGATGAAGAGGAAGAAGAAAAAGAAAAAGATTATAAAGTTTGGTTAGATGAGAAGTTAAGAAAATATGAGGCTATGTTAGAAGAAGTATTAGCAAGTGAAGAAGAAAGTAGTAGTTTTCCGATAGTTTTAGAAGATGAGATAGGAGAAGGAAGAGAGTATGGATAAGGACTATATGTGAGAAGATTAGATTTTATTTCTTTATATTTCTTTGTTTTGCTGGTTTATATATATATTAAATAAATTTTGAATTAAATCCTAAAAATCTTATTAATAATTTATTACAAATACATAATATACAAACAAGACAAAAATAGATCTGCAAAACTCTTTTCTATACACATTCGGCAGGAATAGAGTTATCAACAAAAAACAAAATAACCACTCCAAGCGATAAAGAAAACTTTTTCAAATCAAGTCCAGCAAGGGCCAAGGCCCTCATACCAAAGAAGAGAAGTCTCTCTCACTTTTTTCTTCCAAAAACAACTTGCAAAAAACTTAAAATGACAGAACCAGTTAAAG